GAAACCCGTAATAATTGCTGTTAGATTTATGAGCATAACCCGCAGTGCTGTGGCGGTAGGTATTTACTGTATGTTCCCGCTGTTACCGTAAGTGTCGTCCCAGCACTGTGTGGTCCGTCTGTCTACATGATCATGATAAAGCAAGAAACTCAAGAGCTGAGATGATAGTTAGGCACTTATCACGTTATTCATTTCCATAATGTTGCACTGCATGACACGTGTGTGTGTGTGTGTGTGTGTGTGTGTGTGTGTGTGTGTGTTGCATTCCCTCCATGTGCCTGATATTTTACACTTTTTTTTTTTTTTTTTACTTGCTTTCTCTGGGAATGAGCAGTCAAACTCATTCAGAAAGGTAATGGCTTTGGGCTGACGTCACGTGAGTGTGTGTTTCTATCCAGGCTCCAAAATGAACACTTGTCAAAAAAACAAATAGGAATCTGACCACTGGCCCGTTTTTTTAAATAATTGCAACAAAATACAATTTCGACCGTAGAACATGACAGGATCAAATCACAAGATAATAAACAGCCTAATGAATCATATGTCCGTGGGAAAAAATGTTCATTTTGGAAAGTCTGTAGTCTGAAAGTGAGTCTTTAGAGTGAACCTGCCAAACGCTTTCTGTGATCGTAGCCAAACGTCTTTGGTAACACTTTACAATAAGGTTCATTAGGTAACTAACATGAACTAACAATGAGCAATACATTTGTTACAGTATTTATTCATCTTTGTTAATGTTAGTTAATAAAAATACAACTGTTCATTGTTTGTTCATGTTAGTTCACAGTGCATTAACTAATGTTAACAAACACAACCTTTAATTTTAATAATGTATTAGTAAATGTTGAAATTAAAATTAACTAAGATTATTTCATGCTGTAGAAGAATTGTTCATTCTTAGTTCATGTTAAAGCTGCAGTCCGTAGCTTTTTTGGGGTTAAAAATGATCCAAAATACATATTTGAGAAAATACATAACCAGCCAGTGTTCAAAACTCTCTGCTTGCCGTAGCTCGATTCAAAGCGGTGAGCTTGTAATAATGTTTTCAATTCCAGTGGTACTGGTGGATTTCCGCGGGAGATTCGAGCATGTCTGCGTCATTACGTCACATCTGCACACACACATCTGTACACACACATCTGCACACACATCTGCACACACACATCTGCACACACACATCTGCACACACACATCTGTACACACACAACTGTACACACACATCTGTACACACACATCTGCACACACACACATCTGCACACACACATCTGCACACACACACATCTGCACACACACATCTGCGCACACACATCTGCACACACACATCTGCGCACACACATCTGCGCACACACATCTGCGCACACACATCTGCGCACACACATCTGCACACACACATCTGTACACACACATCTGCACACACATCTGTACACACACATCTGCACACACACATCTGCACACACACATCTGTACACACACAACTGTACACACACATCTGTACACACACATCTGCACACACACACATCTGCACACACACATCTGCACACACACACATCTGCACACACACATCTGCGCACACACATCTGCACACACACATCTGCGCACACACATCTGCGCACACACATCTGCGCACACACATCTGCGCACACACATCTGCACACACACATCTGCACACACACATCTGTACACACACATCTGCACACACACATCTGTACACACACAACTGTACACACACATCTGCACACACACACATCTGCGCACACACATCTGCACACACACATCTGCACACACACATCTGTACACACACAACTGTACACACACATCTGTACACACACATCTGCACACACACATCTGCACACACACACATCTGCACACACACACATCTGCACACACACATCTGCGCACACACATCTGCACACACACATCTGCGCACACACATCTGCACACACACATCTGCACACACACATCTGCACACACACATCTGCACACACACATCTGTACACATAAAGGAGTCTCGGCTAGTCGGCTATGAGTGTGAGGATGTTGGAGGTGGAGATTTATAGCCTTTTCTCACAGCACTTGATATAATTAAACTTATCAATCTGATGGCGGATCCAGAAAGGTTCAAACGACGATCACCAGTGACAACAGATTCACCCGCTGTAAAACACAAAAGACTTCGTTCGGACTTCGCTGTGGCGACAGAAAACAAGAGACTGCAACGGCCCATGCGAAAACAAGGATCATATCGGAAGGACGTTACATGTAGTCACGCAATGCTGTCGTTGTTAACATTAACAATTTGAGAACAAAGTATAATTTGCACAGTTTTGCGTGATATGATAACTTGTAAGCGATTGTTAGATTTAATCAGAACCAGAACAAAAGTGGATGTTTCTTACTAGTTCAGACATTTTCCGGTGAAATTATTTCCAAAAAGAATAATCTGTGATTCTGAATGTGACTAACATCTGCCTGCACACTCTCCTCAAACATTGTGTTCATCCGCGCTGTGCCGTGTCGAGGGTGTCGAGGCACAACTCACGTAAAGTTGATAATTCCTCGAATGACTGCAATTGCAGATTTCGAACAGAGATGGCGACAAAGAGGAAAAACTGCGGACTGCAGCTTTAACTAATGAACCTTATTGTAAAGTGTTACCCGTCTTTCTTACCATCCTCATATAATCTCCAGCTCCGCCTCTCATCAGTGTGTGTGTTGTGTTTGACAGAGTAAGGGCCCAGTGCACAGGCTGAGGTATCACACACCGTCTCCTCCAGTGAGTCCTCGCTCCTCAACCGTCCCGGATCTGATGCAGGAGAGCGGAGACGAGAAGGATCCCGAAGTGTCCGAGCAGCAACAGGTCGCCATGCAGCAGGAGGAGAAAGTGCTGACCGAACAAATCGAGAGTCTGCAGAAAGAGAAGTAAGAGAGACCGCTTTAGCCTCTCACATCGGTCGCATGAACTCTGATATTAAGGGCTCTATCACACACACTCGGTGTAATGCAGCGCCAGGCGTGACGCAAGTGTGTTCTGCTAGTTTCAGCTCGACGCAGGTTTCATTTTCACGTCTTGCGCCACATTGTTTAAATAGCAAATGCAACGAGGTGTTGTGCGAACGAGGTGTTCAGGCGCATTGTTGAAGAGCGGTGCTATTTTGAGGAACTGAAATAGACTGAGAATAGAATAGACTGAATTTTTTTTTTTTTTTTTTTTTAAAGCACTGTAGTAATGTGCGCCTATAGGCGGGTCCACAACATGCGTACACTGCTTATTACACACACATTCTGCTTATTACACACACACACTGCTTATCACACACACACTGCTTATCACACACACACACACTGCTAATCACACACACACACACACTGCTTATCATACACTCACACACACTGCTTATTACACACACATTCTGCTTATTACACACACACACACACACACACTGCTTATCACACACACACACACACACACACACACACACACACACACACTGCTTATCACACACTCACACACACTGCTTATCACACACACACTGCATATTACACACACACACACACACACTGCTTATTACACACACATTTTGCTTATTACACACACACACACACACACACACACTGCTTATCACTCACACACACACACACACACACTGCTTATCACACACTCACACACACTGCTTATCACACACACACACACTGCATATTACACACTCTGCTTATTACACACACATTCTGCTTATTACACACACACACACACACACACACACACACACACACTGCTTATCACACACACACACACACACACTGCTTATCACACACACACACACACACACACTGCTTATCACACACACACACACACACACACACACACACACACTCTCACACACACACACACACACACTCACACACACTGCTTATCACACACACACACACACACACACACACTCACACACACTGCTTATCACACACACACTGCATATTACACACACACACACACACTCTGCTTATTACACACACATTTTGCTTATTACACACACACACACACACACACTGCTTATCACTCACACACACACACACACACTGCTTATCACACACTCACACACACTGCTTATCACACACACACACACACACTCTGCTTATTACACACACATTCTGCTTATTACACACACACACACACACTGCTTATCACATACACACACACACACACACACACACACACACACACACACACACTCTGCTTATTACACACACATTCTGCTTATTACACACAGAGGGATGTGAAGCTGCACACAAACATGCCAAATATTAAAAATAAAAGGATTACAATATAAAAGATTATTATTATTGTGTACATAAAGATATGGGGGAATCCACGCTTTAACCTCACACACACACACACAGCTTTAACCTCGGGCACGAGCAGATCCGTTTCCTCGCTGGAGATGGGAGAAGATGAGAGACTGATTGGGCACGTTACGCCCAAAACACACCCATTACTCATTAAGAGAATAGAGAGAACCCTTTTAGACCTTGCGCCGGGAGCGCCGGCCATTTTCTCCGTCGTTAAACTAGCAAAAGTGGATTAGGAAACGCCCCTTGCACCGCCGAGCTTTAGACCATGCGCCTATATTGTTTAAAATAGGGCCCTAAGGGTGTTTTGGGAATAGCATATCACACTATTACGCCATGTGAATACCTAGAGGACATACTAGGTTTTCCATAATGTGCCGTATACAACCAGAGCGTGGAGCTGCCGTGTGTTAGCCGTACGCAGAGCACTAGTATTCCTTAGTGAACACAGTCAAAGCCTGAGATTTGTTTGATGGTCCTCATAGGGAGGAGTTGACCTTCGAGATGCTCGCTCTGGAGCCGCGGGCGTCCGATGACGAGACCCTGGAGTCCGAAGCCTCGATCGGCACAGCGGACAGCTCGGAAAACCTGAATGTGGACTCTGAGGGAGCCACTTCCGACTTCTCGGGTGAGTAACTGATGGTGCGTTCAAGTCCTCCTGGGGAGTTCGTCCTTACGAGGTGTGAAGTCGTGTTTACGACGGCAGTGCGTTCAAGTCACTTTCGTCGGAGTAAGATGGCGGTGTACTTTCTCTTAGTTACACAAAAATACGGCAAGGTTTTTTAAACTGTAGTTCTAGGAATTGAAGACCAGAGAAATGTGCATCAGGTGCATCTCGCTCTCCCTTTATAATCACAGAAGCTTTTGGCACACTTATGAAAACTCCCCTTTTGCAACTAAAGTGCACAATAAATCTTTAATTTACAACGTTGACGCTTTTTTTGCTGAGGAGGAACACTAAGAGACGCGTCTATGTTGTTTAACGTTTGAATGAATAAATGAATGCTAGGCCTGAGTATTTAAGTGACTATATTCTGATTATAAACTAAAGTGTTTTACACTATTGATGCTGTTAAAGCCGCCTCAGGACATTGAAGATACGACACACCAACACGTGACATTTCACCGGAAGTTTTCCAGCTGGCTTTTATTATTGCAGACGTTCTTAATAATGTTTCGTGCATATGGTCAATTTGCTTTACTATTGCACTATTCAATGACAAATAGTGTGAGTAGTGTTTTCACACTGAAAATTACAAAGTGCACTCTAAATATCTGGATTATGCACTTAATTAACTGTGGGCATGTTGAACACTTCATGCACTTGACTGTGTGTATAAATATATATATATACATATATACAGCATGTATATATATTTTCATTGGTGAAATTGAGCAAAAACAAACAATATTGACAAAATTGTGTCTGAAATGTAACACAATATTAAATTCTTGTTTATTGAACTGTTGTATAAAATCACATTTACATTCGTGCTGATATTCAGGAAAAAACATCACTCTTGCTCGTGTGATATAGCTAATCTATATCATATGATACAAGACAAAAATCCATATGGGGCATTTTTGCCCTCATATCTTGAATTTTAGTGGCATTTTAACTGCATTCTAAAGTCGTTGTCCTGCATTATGTTTGTAACTTCATGAAGTGTAAAATGACGTACAGGTCTGGGCCGGGGCGGCTGCATTAAAAGTGTTTATAAATACACTACCGTTCAAAAGTTTGGGGTCAGTGAGAATTTTATTTTTATTTTTTGGAGGAAAGAAATCAATACTTTTATTTATCAAGGACAGTAAAGACATTTATAATGTTACAAAAGATTCTATTTCAAACAAATGCTGTTCTTTTGACCTTCCTATTCATCAAAGAATCCTAAAAAACAACAACAAAAAAACTGTACAACTGACAGACCAACAACTGTTTCAACATTGATAATAATAATAAATGTTTCTTGAGCATCAAATCCTCATATTATACTGATTTGTGAAGGATCATTTGACACTGAAGACACTGACACTGGTGATGCTGAAAATTCAGCTTTGATCACAGGAATAAATTACACTTTACTATATATTCACACAGAAAACATCTGATTTACACTGGAATAATATTTAATACTATAACTGATTTTTGTTGTATTTTTAATCAAATAAGCGCAGCCATGGTTAGCAGAAGAGAATTCTTTTAAAAGTATTTAAAATCGTACCGACCCCAAACTTTTGAACGGTAGTGTATATATATAAATATTAGTGCTGGGCAACGATTAATCACGATTAATCCCAAAAGTTTGTGTTTACATATTATATGTGTGTGTGCTGTGTATAATTATTTTGTATATATAAATACACACATATACATGTATATATTTAAGAAAAATGTGTTATTTATATATAAAACATTTACATTTATATATAATATAAATTATGAATAAATATATATATACAGTAATATATACATGCATATGTGTGTGTCTATATATACAAAATAATTACACATAAAATTATATACATAAAATTACACAGAACACACATTTTTTATGTAAACACAAAATTTATTTTGGATGCGATTAATAGTTGCCCAGCAATAATATATATATATATAGTCACACAATGCAGTGTTTTGTCAGGAACAAAACAGGGAAACCATATGAAGTTAGTAGCACTTGTACTTTAAGTTGCTGGTGCTTTTCCAGCACATCGTTGACTGGTGTTAATGTTTGCCTGTCCTCAGAGCGAGGCCCAGCGCTGGCCGTCTCGAGGCCCAAGAAGTCTGAAGCGAAGAGCAGGAGAGTCCTGCGGAAACAGCCTGAATCCCTGGACTCCATAGACTCCAGTTCCACCGTCTCCTCCGTGTCGTCTTCCTACATGCAGCCGACTAGAACCCAGAGGTTACGCTTGCGGTCCAAATCGCCTTCGCCCCGGTTATATCCGTCTGACAGCCTGGACCAGGACGACGAGGAGCGAGCGCAGTTCACCAGCCGAGCCACGTTCAACCCAGAGAAGGGCAAACAGCGTCTGCAGGGCGTCAAGAGCTCGCCTCAGAGACAGCGGGACAATCCCACCGGAGAGAAGAGGGACCCGGATCTGCCGGCCCAGCAGGTGGTGGTTTACGGGAGCAACGAGTTCATGGTGTGAAGACCGAAGGATTCCACGTCCATCACTCGTTCTCCCCTGCGAACGCTCGCTTTTGCTGCATTATAGTCCTTAAGTGCCATGTTGAGAGGAACCGAGACGGGCAGCAGGGAAAAGGGAATGTCGAAACGTTCCGAAACGGAATGTTCTCCTTTGATCTTCGATCGGGAGTTCCGTGACGTTCCGAAAGGTGCGAGACGACGAAGCCATTGATGAACTCAAGCTGCTTTAACGTTTACAATGTAGAATCACGCGAGCAGCGTTCTCTGAGATGTGTTTGCCCCCAATCCTATTTAATACATTTTATTGACATATAAATCTATATAAATATATATTATAGTGTACAAAGCCAGAGCACCAGTGACTGCTGGGTTGTTGAATTCATATATTGTATCTTTGAACGCGTTGGAGAGAGAAGTGTGTTCGAGTGTGTGTCTTACGAGATGTGTTTGTGCTGCTTTTTGTGTTGTGCTTGGAGGGAAATGATGCCATTAAAGGGACCAAGCAAACTGGTGTCATAATGCCAGAGGATCCCAGCGCTAAACGAAGACTCAGAAGTCTTCCGGATCACCACACAGTGTATTAAGTCATTACTTCAACAGCCATCCGTCAGCGATTCCATCCCTGTTCTTTCTGCCTCAAAGAAACCAGTGTTAAAACACAAAGCCACAGAGTTACTAGATTGCTGTTACTTACATTTTTATATATATATATATAATCAGCATAATTTTTCCGAAAATCCTTGGATCATTCATGCCCTGCAAACATGAATTACCTCTTGCCAGAAAATGACTTAAATATGACTTAATATATTACCAAATGGTCTCTTCTGCCTGTATATATAGTGCGATACACCCTATTCTTTTTCTAAATATTTAATAATTAAAAACCATGGCTATTGTAATCCACAGAAGTGCATTTGGATTCGCATTCGACTGCTGTATTCGCAGTGTTTGATTATTAGTATCACTAGCTATTGATGCAAAATGAACAAATTGTGCCACCAGCAAAATAGACCATCTGTCATTTCTAGAGATCATGAAGTTTAGGGTTGATGACTGTCACCCTCGTGTTAAACTGGGGTTATGCCCAGTAACACGGTTCGGGAAGGGTTTCTGCATGTGTTTTTCACAGGAGTGAGTGTTAATTTATATTCTGTTATTTAGATCTCGTGCATCGCTGACACTGGTCACGCCGCCTGCAGGATTGAGCAAACTGATATGTCTTCTGTCATGTGTTGAACAAATGTTTCTTATGAAAGAGAAGAAAAAAAAGTCAATGGTTGTAAAATAAATTACACATTTTGAACAAATGAGAACTGGTTTGTTAAATGAAAGTGCTTCTGACTTGTTCCACCCACATTCAGTTTTTTTTTTTTTGTATTTTTTGATTGATTTGAGACAGAACTTGAATGACCTGTTCATCACGCTTGAGTCTCTTCTTGTTTAACTGCTTGACTTTCTGAGCATAGATGTTACAAATGCACCATTCAAATGGAAATGGTTGTAGTTCATGAATGATTCGCAGTGCAGAACTAAGGTTGGTCTCTATTTTAAAGATGATCCTCCACAGATTATTGGTGAAATAAAGAGTGTAAAAGAAGTTTAAGTTCACTGTAAAGCAAATGTACTGTACTAAACATCTACATCTATTTTATACAAAATGTAATTTTCATGTAATTTTGAAACTTATAATGTCTATTTAAGTTGATGAAATCACAAGTTCCTATGGGATTTTATTTAGGCGTAATACCATAATTAGCCACCAGGTGACACACGTTCTATATAATGTTATCATGCATTCTCCTGTAACAAATCATATCACATCACTTCTATCACAAAACAGTTGTCATATATGTAACGTTGAGTTTCAGACCTTTCCGACAATAGGTGTATTGTCAAGATTTGAAGGTTTTATTAAAATAATTTAATATGACACCGCCCACTAGTGGGAGGAGCCTGCCAAAAAAGGCTTTGAAGTACCGTTTCTATGAGAACGCAATGTCCAATTTAAAAACGGTTTTCACAGGATAAATTTTGTGTTTAAACTTTCAAATGATACCTAATTTATGGGGTTAACAAAAAGAGTGCATCAGGTGTGGTGACAAATCAGGTCCTCCTCAAAATCGGGTTCTGTTAGGACCCCAAGCGATCCCATTGGCTCAAATTACTTTTAATAGGTATTCTCTTTAGCTCCTGATTAAAATTCCTACAAAAACCCCCCCCCAAATAAATGCTTTTTGAACTACATTATGACCATAATTAGTTTGCTTATGTACTAGCATAGCATACAGATACCGGATTAGCCTAATAGCTTAGTTTATACACGCATTTTCACTTACCCTACATGATTCACAATCATCGTTGCTGTAATTACGTGTCAAATGCCTAAATAATTCATTTAAAAAAAAAAATATTATGTTGAATTATTCATTAAATTCTCTGTTGTTTTGCTTTTTTTATATATTGTTTGGACATGATCCTGAGGACCCCCATGAAAACGAGATGTTTCATCTCATGGGGCTGATCCTCTAATAAATGTTCATAAATAAATAAATAAATTATGTATTTATTTATTAATTAACAGTTTATCAAGTGAAAGAAATGTTCAATTTGTTTTATTATGCACTATATAGTAACCTATACAAATTTTAAATTAATAATATCGTTCGTATGTACTTATTATAATCATTAACTAATAGTTGTTAGAGACCCGACTTGTCATGACACCGGCCTGAGGATATTGTAATTGTGTGAGAGCTGTTAAACCTGTAATACTGCTGCCAAAGGTGCGGAGTTATTTTGATTTCACCAGAGAGATCGAATCTCTGCAGGTACAAACAAAAACATAATGTTTTCATCCCTTTTGCAAGTCTCCACATAATACCGTGTTATTAAAATGTTATGTTACTGCGCGTTTACTAGTTTAACTCTACATCAGTACTCAAGAAGTATTCATTTCAAGTAGTGTGTAAGCAGAGCTGGAAGATGAGATCCAAACTAGATCCTGGCAGTGACGTCATTGACGAATGCACCACGCATGCGCAGCGGTCAGTGAGTGAGTTGCGCTGGCAGGTACACGGAGCACGAGAACACCTGTGCTTGCCGCACGACAAGATGTCTGGATTCGATAACAACCCCTTTGCCGAACCAGTTGATATCAATCCTTTCCAGGTAAATACCTAATGATTTATTATGTCTTCGGTAATATGTAATAGATTTATATTTTTCACTGTGAACCTGTTTGTTTGTTTCGGAGTCGCTGGAGAAAGGTGAGAGTGAGAGGGCTCAGCCAATCAAATTTCACTTTTCGGGTTACAAGCCAATCACCTTCCGATGACGATCCAGGAAGTGTTTTTTTGTTTTTGTTTTAAGTTGTCTTTAAATAATAATAATCGAGTTTTTTCTGCCGTCGTGAGCATTTTAACACTGTTTATCATAATTATGTAGAGAACCAAGCGTTTCGGCATACACTTTGATTAATCACTTAACGCGATAGGTGCACGAAGCCTATGTTCAAATCCAACAGGTGCATCTTTACCGTGTCGGCTAAGCCAAGCCGTGTTGACTTTTATTCATTCACAGATATCAACAATTCAGTTTTCACTAGTTCAAGTGCTAATTCTTAATATCAGGTAGCCTATTAGATTTCTACTTGTAAAAACTATAATTCTTGATGTCTGTAATTGTATTTTCACTAGTTAAATGTCACCATAGGCTACCATTCAAATTGTTAATATCGAGCATTGATTTATTACTTCCGATTTTACATGTCAGAAACACAATTATTACTAGAAAAAAAACCATAATTTTTTATATCAATAATTATGGTTACTAGTGCAAATGTCTGTTCATGATCAACAGTTAAATTGGTACTAGAAGCATTTTCAGTTTTGACAAGTGTAACATACTAGTCTTGAATGAATGTGATTGTTACTGTAAGAAAGGCATTTTAGATAACTGAAATTACTCTCTAGTTATTGATATCAGAAATAACAAATTTAATATGTTGAAATGCATTTCAACTAGTGAAAATTTGTTTTTTGATATCAGGAATTTATATTTTTACTAGTAACAGTTATTATTGATTATTATCAATGCTAGTAAGAAATGCATAGCTGAAATGTGAAATTGAAATTTCTAGCAACAATTAATTTGAATGGCGAATGGCAAGCCGTTTTAACTTTTATTCATTTCCAGGATATGAATCCTTGATATCAACAATTACATTTTCACTAGTTAAAATGATAATTATTGATATCAGGAATAATATTTCTACTAGTAACAATGGCAATTTTGGATATCAGGAATTACATTTTCACTAGTAACAATGCTAATTCTTGACATCAACATTTACATTTTCACTAGTTAAAATGATAATTCTTGATATCAACAATTGAATTTCAACTAGTTAAAACTATAATTCTTGATATCTGCAATTGTATTTTCACTAGTGAAATGTCACCATAGGCTGCCATTCAAAATCAATTCTTGATATCAAGAATTGATTTCTTACTATAGTTGAAATTCCAATTTCACATATCAGAAATACAATTCTTACTAGTAAAAACCTTTATTTTTGATATCAAGAATTAAATTGTCACTAGTTGAAATGTCTATTCTTGATGTCAACAATTGAATTGCTACTAGTAACAATGTTCATTTTATATATCAATAATTCAATTTTCACTAGTGACAATGTTAATTTCTGATATCATGAATGTGATTGTTACTAGTAAGAAAGCCATTTTAGATATCTGAAATAATATTGATGATAGAAACACTTTTTCAGATATCAAAAATGAAATTTTTTACTAGTAGCAATTCAGTTGTTGATATCAAGAATAGACATTTAGACTAGTGACAATTTCATTATTGATATCAGGAATTCGCATTTTTACTAGTGTAATTATTGATATCAAAAATTATATTTCTACTAGTAAGAAATCAATTCTTGATATCAACAATTGATTTTAAATGGCAGTCTATGGTGACATTTCACTAGTGAAAATACAATTGCTGATATCAATAATTACATTGTTGATATCAAGAATTCAATTGTTGATATCAAAAAATGTAATTCTTGATATCAACAATTCATATCCTGGAAATGAATAAAAGTTAAAACGGCTTGCCATAAATGGTGGCCTTTGGTGACATTTAACTAGTGAAAATACAATTGCAGACATCAAGAATTACAGTTTTCTCTAGTTGAAATTGAATTCTTGATATGAAGAATTTGATTTCTGCAAGTGATGCCGTAATTGTTGATATCAAGATTTTTTTTACTAGTGGAAATGTAATTCCTGATGTCAAAAATTGCCACTGTTACTATTAGAAATCTAATTCCTGATATCAAGAATTAGGATTTTAACTAGTGAAAATGGACTTGTTGATATCAAGAATATCATATCCTGGGAATGAATAAAACGGCAAAACAACTTGCCATAGTCGGCTACATTTATATTTCACAAAAGAGGAGGGAAAAACAGATGGGAATATTTTGAGAGATGTCATGGTACATGGCACTCCAAAGTACTTCAAAGAATGCTTTGGCACCCAAAAGCGTTCATAACATATACAGTGTTTAATGAATAGGCAAGTGATATTTGTTGTGCCTGCCAGGATCCATCAGTCACTCAGGTGACCAGCACTGCAGTCGATGGCGTAGGAGAGTTTAACCCGTTTACAGCCACTGCTCTGGTAAGCCTGACCGTTTCCAATCCTCATCCTACAAATCATCAGTTCCTCGTGTCACAGTACATGCATATCATCAGGATAATATTCCTCTGTCATCATGTAGATCCAAACGATCCTGCTGCATAATTTGAAATCCTACTTGAAATAGGATTGACATTTATTCAGAATTTGATTTGATCTTCAAGACTGACTTAAAATTATAAGAAGTCGTCAAAAATGGTAATGCCAAAATGCCAAATTATTGCTCAATCCTAAAATAATCCAATAGAAATCCTATTAAAAACGACAGTAAACTGGAATCCACACACTTTAGTCTGTTTTGAGAAGTTAATTTCTCTTTCCTTTTTTCTATATTTGATTCCTTCAGGAATGGTTCCAATTTATGATCATATTTTCCTTTAGGAAGTTTTGAGTTTTCCACTGGAACACTTGTGTTCTATACTGAATGAAATCACAAGCAAAGAGTTTGAATTGAATATTTTCCCTCTCTCTTATTTAGGGTGGAAGCACCATCCCTGTTTCAGTCGCTTCTCAACCAGCGGTCCTCCAGACGACTGTGGAGCCCAGTCCACAAGTTAGTACAATATTCATGCAGAACCATAATCTTTGAATGCTGATGCATATTTATCATAGTCAAGTCAAGTCACCTTTATTTATATAGCGCTTTTACAATACAGATTGTATCAAAGCAGCTTCACACTGATAACATGAAAATAATACAACAAAGCTTGTTACTAAAAGAAAATTGCATCAACGTCCACCTTAAGTAAGGCAGATCAATAATATTATTGAATATTAAATGTCCCCAACTAAGCTAGCCAAAAGCCAAGGCAACAGTGGCAAGGAACCAAAACTCCATCAGGTGACAGAATGGAGAAAATAACCTTGGGAGAACCCAGACTCAGTCGGGGGTCAGTTCTCCTCTGGCCAACGAAGGAACAGTGCATGATTCGGGCAGCATTACAAGTCAGATTGGATCGGAACATTTAGAGTATTTATCCATTTCCATCTTTTTGGAAGTCCAAGTAATCACGACGGTATTGAGACGAGTTGTTGAGGATCAGTGCCGTCCACCATAGAGAGTCCATATCGCCGGTGTTGAGTCGTCTCTTCACAGGCTTTGTGATTGGAGCACCGTGAGAGGCTGGATACAAACTGGAGCTGACGAACGCCATTTTCCTCGGGACTCGCGTCCCGAGATAACAGCAGAAAAGCAAAAAGGGAAAATAATTAGCGTAGCTGCTGTTAGTGATTTCCATAACACGGGCGTAAATGATAAAAACATGAAGACAGTGACTCTTGCGTCCCAGAGTCACCCCCCTCCGTCCCCCACTCAACTCAGCCTTGCTTACTGACCTCTACGTCCCTCCTGCTGCTGAGACCTAACCACAATCTCACAATCTCTCCGCAACCCAACCATACGCGCCAACCCGTTGACTAAGGCTGTCGAGCCCCACTGGTGCGTTAATATGCAGTTTCAGTGGACAACGGTTCCGTATGGCATACCACCTACCGCAAAACACAATATCTGCCCAACCACCCGTCATTCACGCAATATCCACAGGAACGTAATGACTGTAAATACTATGCAACCTATACAAATAACCTACAGACTCTTCAAGTTTTATAATATTAAATGCATTTGATCTGATTCAGCAGTGGTATAAAAGGTAAGCATTATGTAAATGCTTGGTTAAGCAGTAATAGTACTTTGTAATTGATACGGAACTTGATAGGTAGCCAGTGTAGAGATGATAAAATTGGTGTTATATGATCATATTTTCTTGACCTAGTAAGAACTCTAGCGGCTGCATTTTGCACTAACTGTAGCTTGTTTCTTGAGGATGCAGGACAACCAGCTAATAAAGCATTACAGTAATCTAGTCTCAAGGTCATGAATGCATGGACTAACTTTTCTGCATCAGAGACAGATAGCATGTTACGTAGCTTTGTAATGTTTCTAAGGTGGAAAAAGGCTGTTCTTGTAACATATGAAATATGATTTTCGAAAGACAAGTTGCGGTCTAGTATAACTCCCAGGTCTTTTACTGTAGTGGATAAAGTAACAGGACATCCTTCTATATTAAAGTTGTATTGTAAGTGGTTTTGTGGGTAGTTTTTTGGACCAATAAGTAATACCTCCGTTTTATCTGGATTTAGTAGCAGGAAATTACACGTCATCCAGCATTTTATATCTTTGAGACACTCTGTCAAATTAGATAAGTTAGTGTTTTCATCTGGCCGTGATGAAATATATAATTGAGTGTCATCAGCATAACAGTGGAAATTAATTCCATGTTTTCTTATAATATTACCAAGTGGCAGCATATATATTGAGAATAGCAGAGGGCCTAACACCGATCCTTGCGGCACTCCATAGTCTACTGACGTTATCTTCATTATTTTTTCCCATTTAAACAAACAAAATGGTAACGGTCCGATAAGTACGATCTGAACCAGCTTAATGCCTGTCCCTGAACACCAGTGTAGTTTTGTAGTCGATCCAAGAGTATTTTATGATCAATAGTGTCGAACGCAGCACTAAGATTGAGTAGAACTAATATTGAGATACAGCCTTGGTCAGAAGCTAAAAGTAAATCATTTGTAATTTTAACTTGCGCAGTTTCTGTGCTATGATGCGGTCTGAATCCTGACTGAAATTTTTCATTTATCTAATTTTCTTGCAACAGGGCCGGCTCTAACCCTTTGGTTGCCCTAGGCGATATTGAGTTTTGCGCCATTTGAAATGGGTCTGTAATTTTCTAAGTTATTTGGATCTAATTGCGGTTCTCTTACGAGAGGTTCTCTCGTATTGCGTAAGCTAGCTTACGCTGCGGGAAAGATTCATCTTTTCTGAGAAATTGAAGCCAAAAATTATCCTAAAATTTTGTATCCATTGTCAACGCAGTTCAGCTGCAGCAGAGCATGAGCAGGCTAGCTAGCAGCTCATTGGCTCGCTCACAGGGAACTGCTTAAGCCTATGAGGAGACACGAATGAACTCTCGGCCAATGAGAGTCTGACCTGCTCTCATTGCGTCAGAGCCCGCCGAAACGGGCGTGGCCAGAGAGTATCAATTCGCCTCTCAGGCTGCAAACTCTGATTTTCATCTCTTCAGCGAGGCTACACGCATCTGCTGATCCTGAGAGAAGCCGCCGTCGTGGAAAAGGCACCTTCTAGCGAGCATCTGGGAGTCTGAGGAAGCCGGCCGTCTTCGCCACCTTCAGCCGTCCTGCAAGCTAGCGCCATCCGACGGATTCATATCCTTTACCAAAAGCTTCTTGTTTTGTGTGTGTGTATCTAAAAGAGCCGAGCGTCTTTGTAAAGATGTCTCGTTTTTCCTCCTGCGGTTCTTGCCGCGCTCCCCTCGAGACTGGAGACCGCCACGTCATCTGCGCTCTCTGCCTCGGATTGGAGCACGCCGAGCTCGCCCTCGCCGATGGCGGCTGCGATCTCTGCGAGGAGATGCCGTTGTCGACCCTGCGGGCTCGACTTCAGGCCACTAAAGCTGCTTCCGCGCCGCCTTCGACTTCGCCGCGTAAGAAGAAACGCCGCTCGCAGAGGCCGCCGGAACCCCAGCCAGAAGCGTTCATCCCGCCGGAGCCTGTCGCCTCCCGCTCTCCTTCTCCGCCGCTTCCGGACATACAGTTGCCGCCGAGTGGCCGCTCTGTCGCCTCCGACGACGCCGCGGACATCAAGGAGACATGTTCGCTTCTCGCTTCAGACAGTGAGGATTGGTCCGGTTCTCACGCCTCTTCGGCCCGATAATCCTCTAGGACCCGCGCTGGAATTGAGGAGGAATTAGTGCGCCTCCTCTCACAGGCCGTCGAACGCCTCAGGCTCGATTGGTCTCCCCCCGAGCAGACCATCAACCGTATGGACGGCAGCTATTTCCGCCAGCGCTCGACTCCCGTCACTAAACGGGCCGCGCCCTTCTTGCCCGAACTGCACGCGGAACTCACAAAGTCCTGGAATGCCCCGCTCTCTGCCAGAACTCGCCCGCCCCGCCCCGCTTCGCGTTGTGGACAGAGCCGCAGAAAAGGGCTATCTTTCCATTCCCCCTGTAGAGGACCTGGTCGCCGCACATCTGTGCCCGCCCTCCACGAGATGGCGCTCATCACCTGTGCTTCCTTCTAAAGCCTGCAGAGCGACTTCGAGCTTCCACGCGCGCGCTTACTCAGCCGCCGGCCAAGCAGCCTCTGCATTTCACTCCATGACCGTCCTCCATATTCTACAGGGTGATTTACTGCGTGAGTGGGACGAGAGCGGAAAAAATCCCCCCTCAGGCGCGGATTTGAGGAGCGCCACGGACATTGCCCTTCGCGCCACAAAGTCTGCTGCTCAAGCCCTGGGGAAATGTATGGCCGCCATTTGCGTGTCTGAAAGACATTTGTGGCTCACGCTCGCCGACATGGGAGATTCCGAGCGCGCCGCTTTTCTCAACGCCCCGCTCTCTCCGTCCGGCCTCTTCGGATCTGCTGTCACGGGTATCGTTGACCGTTTCTCCAAAGTGCAGAAAGCCTCCCAGGCCATGAATCTTTTTCTGCCTCGTCGCGCTAGCTCCTCTGCAGGCCGCTCACGTGACCAGCCTCCTGCACGAGCCCCACCCCAGCGCCCAGCTCAGCACAGTCAGACTTCTCAGCGACGCCAGGGCGGCCGCCCTCGTTCTCGCTCCGACAGCCGCCACAGACCGCCGCCTCCCCGTGGGCCTCGGTCCAGGATCACGCTGAAACCTGATCACTCAAAGTCTGCCTAGCACAGCTGAGAAAAAGACGGCGCTCTCCCGCCGAGGCCGGACCGCCGTCAAAGTTTCGCCCTCTGTTAGTCCCCGCTCACGCGGCTACTACAGCAGTGTACCCCGCCATTACCAAGCCGGTTCCCTTTCCCGCTTGCATGAGCACAAACGCCGTTATCACGGCGACCCAGAGAAATCTCAAAAAGAGCATAAAAGCCTCACGTGTAGAAAATGTGCCCACAACACTGTGTTCACTCATACACAAAAGCATTTCAGTTCCCGTGTGTCTCACAGAGCCCACTCTCATAAAGCGGTTCCAACCCGCTCGAGTTTCAGAGTACATAAGCGCGCCCACGAGCCCGTGTGCGCGTCCCACCTCTGCTCACTCTGTTACACGGCCCTTAAACTCATTTCTGAGTGTAAGTCCCGCTGTCATAAACACGATGAGCGCGCCTGCGCGGCCCGCTGTGTGCAGCAACGGGGACCATGTAGCCATTCACCCCTTAGCGTTACGCTTCAAAGCGTGGGAAGCTATTCCGGGAATTTCCCAGTGGGTGCTAAACACAATAAGGCTAGGCTATCGCTTACAGTTTCACCGCCGCCCTCCACGTTTCCGAGCGCGGCTAGAAACTATTGTGAACCCAGAAGCAGTGACTCTGCTCCATTCAGAGATAGCAATACTATTGTGCAAAAGGGCTATAGAGAGAGTCCCTCTATCTATGAGCGAGTCTGGGTTTTACGGCCGTTATTTTCTGGTTCCAAAGAAAGACGGCGGCCTCAGACCAATCTTAGACCTCAGATTTCTGAACAAAGTTCTCATGAAGAGACCGTTCAAAATGCT